GTGGGGGTGCGGGGAGGTTATCTCTGGACAACAGACTGTGGGCCTAGGGGAGCCTCTTACTGTTCCTTGACTTTTAGGGCCGGAAAATTATTTGGAAATACTTTTTTTGGGGTCAGTATTTCTATAATTTTTGGGGTGTGTGTTTTCCTTTATATTTAGTAAAATGTCTTCTGAAAGTGCTGCCCTGATGTCGGGTATGAGGAAGGACGGCTCCCCTCCTGGGGTAGGGGGCAGATGCTCCCGGCGTGAAAGGGGACCGCGGGGCAGCAGCAGAGCTGTGGGGAGCGGGAGGCGCCCCCACCGGGAGGGGGGCCCTGTGTTCCAGCCCTGGGGACCAGTGTGCTTTCCGCAGGCGGTGGGCTGCTTCTGGTCCTTCCCCGCCCCACGCCAGAGCCCAGTTTTGCCCAGGGATGCACCTAATGATCTCATGGCCTGGGACTCCTGTTTATCACACTTCCCATCCTCCCGCCTGTCCATCCGTCCATCCTGCAGTCATTCATTCCAGGCCTACGCTCTGCCTGTTTCACCAGTCTACACTGTCCATTCTGTGTTGAGCATTCCTGCCCCAAACTCCGTGCAGGACCTGGGACCCCTGACCACACCCCCTCACTTCCTGGGGGACCTGGGACCCCAACCACAGCCCATCACCTCCTGGGGGTCCTGGGACCCCTGACTCCGACCTCACCTCCTGGGGGACCTGAGACCCCTGACTCCGACCTCACCTCCTGGGGGACCTGGGACCCCTGACTCCGACCTCACCTCCTGGGGGACCTGGGACCCCTGACTCCGACCTCACCTCCTGGGGGATCTGGAACCCCTGACTCCGACCTCACCTCCTGGGGGATCTGGAACCTGCGGACCACGCCGAGCTCGTAGTACATCTGGATGCCGCATTTGACCAGCTCCAGCTCCGTGCGCTCCAGGTCAGAGAAGTGGAACTCATAGATGTCAAACTCGGTGGGCCCTGGCAGCACTTCCTTCTGTGGGAGGGACTGCGGGGCTGAGCGAGGCAGGGCCACCAAACTCCACTGGTTCCTTGTCTCTTCTCCTCCCAGGAGCCCCAGTCCAGCCTCAGATACCCCCCGTCTGGTGACATCTGCCCTGCCAGTCGCTCTGGCCTGTAGCCTGGTACACGGATCCCTGGGTGGCTCGGCCCCCTTCCTTCCCTCTCCTCACACCCTTGGCCCAACAACAAGAACTTGCCTAACTGGGCAGACGCGGCGATGTTGCCAGGGAATTGAGCGTAAAGGCTCACCCTTTGGGAAGGTGCAGAGACACACACGACAGGCACATGGTACGCGGACAGCAGCCAGCACCACGGAGGACACTGCTTTCACACACTTAGTCTCCTGCCAACCCCCCCGGCCCTTCCAGCCTCCACCTCAGGGTAGGGCAGATTCTGACCAAGATTTCCCTCAGCTCCTCTTCCTCACAGTCAGCTGGCTCCTTCCCTAGGCATTCTCTTGTTGGCTGAGAGAGAAAACCGGTGTTATGAGGCAGTAACGGCATCACCTGCACCCCTCGTGAGCGCGGGACAGGTGACAGCATCGCCTACACCCTCGTGAGTGTGGGGCGAAGGACTAACGGGTGCTGCAGGAGGCCCAAGGAGCCCCCCACTTCAGAGACGAGTGACAGTGGTGCACACTCCTGCAGGTCCCCGCCTCTCCTGCCTGAGGGAGGCCTCACACAGCACCCAGGAAGGCACCAGTCACTCCCTGCTCACAGCTTCCGGTCCGTCCTGATCCCTGAAAGGGACCCACCCTGGGCTGTGCAGAGCACATGGGACTCCAGGATGGGTCACTGCTCCTGGGTGCGTGCAAACCCAAGGGGCGGGGGGCTAGGAGTGTGTCCCCATAGGGCAGGGGGGCTTGTGTGTCCCAGTGGGGCCGGGGGGCCGGGAGTGGCAGGAGCAGTACCAGGATCAGCTGGATCTCGTCCCTGTCACATCTCACGTGGTAGAGAACCATGTCCTGGGCGATGTCCTTGCGGTTCTCCAGCTTGTTCATCTTGTCGTAGGTGTCGGTGTTCAGCACCGACCAGCCCAGGAACTGTGTGAGGGACTGTGGGCGGAGTGGCGCGTCACCCACCCCAGGAGCCCCCGCTGTCCTGGTGGGCGGTCCCCTGATCCTTGGCTCCAGGATGGGACCTCACATCTGCCCCATGTCCACTCTCCTCTGGCTGAGTGCAGGGGCTGGGGGCGGAAGCAGAGGGTGTATTCTGCCCATCACACCTGTGCCGGGCTGTTACCTCCATGAGGACTTCATCCTGCTCATCGAAAGGCTTCCCGTCCTTCCTGTTGTAGAAGGTAGCCACCCCCACGGTCTCCTCCTTTCTGTTGACGATGGGCATGGACAGGACATTCTTGATGACCCACCCGGAGTCGTCCAGGGGGCCTTCCTGCAGGGACAGGCATCTGAGTTGACTGCTGCTCGGGTCTGGCCCTGGCCCCTCAAACGGCAGTGACCGGGTCCAGGTCCTCCTTCCTCTGAGATCTGTTCAGCCTCCCC